AATTAACTGAGCTTTACAGTTTGTCCACCAGGGGGCAGATACTCATTTAGAATGTTGAATTTTTCTGAACAAATTAAAGAAAACGACAAATATTGTTGAGTTTTCAGGATTTACGTCGTCTGTTAAAAAATAACATCAGTTGATTTTTGTAGAAATCTGTTGATGAAATAAAGTTTTTATGTTTAAAAAACAGAAAAAGTTTGTTTTTCTTCCTGAAACTAAATAATTTCTCTGCTTCAACAGGCCAAGCTCAGATTTCTGCCGTCTGTTCTTTTCTGACCTTCAGAACCGAACCTGGGTTTGAACCATCAGAACCGAACCTGGGTTTGAACCATCAGAACCGAACCTGGGTTTGAACCATCAGAACCGAACCTGGGTTTGAACCACCAGAACCGGACCCAGGTTTGAACCATCAGAACCGGACTCAGGTTTGAACCACCAGAACCGGACCCAGGTTTGAACCATCAGAACCGGACTCAGGTTTAAACCATCAGAACCGGACTCAGGTTTGAACCACCAGAACCGGACCCAGGTTTGAACCATCAGAACCGGACTCAGGTTTAAACCACCAGAACCGGACCCAGGTTTGAACCATCAGAACTGGACCCAGGTTTAAACCATCAGAACCACAGCATAAACACATCCCTCTCATTGATCCTATGACTTCCTGTCCGAGTGAATAAATACTTTTATTTTGTTAACTTGCTGCTCTAAGAGCAGCGCTGATTGTCCAAAGCAGAAACGGGTCGACGGGTTCTGGTTCTGGTCCAGCCACYCGATCGGCGAGGCTAAAGCTGAGAATGGAGAGTAAGAGAGAAGAGATCCAATCAGAAGAGCCTGGGGGGCGGGGCATGGGCAGGGGGCGGGGCTGTGCTCCTATTTGGCTTTAGAGGCTCCATCAGTAGTCTGTCCCACCGGACCGGACCGGACCGGACTGGAGAGGGGAAGAGAAGGTCCGGCGGTGGTGGGATCGAGGTCAGAGTTAGGAGGAGGAGGAGGAGGAGGAGGAGGAGGAGGAGGAGGTCACAGAGCCGTGGAGGTGACCTTCTTCAGACCCCTCCTCTGGGCCAGAGAGGAGCAGCCCACCGGCTCCAGAACCGTGGCCACGTTCCTGTTCAGCGCCGAGTAGGTGGCCGCCATCGCCCCCTGGAGGAGGAGGAGGAGGAGGAGGAGGAAGATGTTTAACCAAACAGGAAGAGGAGGACCCTCTGCAGGAGCTCAGGTGTTTACCTTGACCAGGTGCGGGGCTTCCTGTCGGTTCAGGGTGTAGTTGGGCAGCTGGTCTCTGCGGGTCACCCAGGGGTGTCTGAGGACCTGACCCGCAGTCAGTCTCCTGTGGGGGTCCACGTGCAGCATCTTAGACACCAGATCCTGGTGGGCAACCAAAACCACCTCCAGTAAGCCTTCAGAGTTCTTCCTGTTCCAAAATAAAAGCACGTTTTATCCTCTCACCTTTCCCTCCAGAGACACAGAGTTCCAGTAGCCCCCCTTCAGGGAGAACTTCCCGCTGCCGATCCGGGTCAGGATCTCCTCTGGCGTGTCCTCTGGACCGTTGGCAAAGGGAGTGAAACTGTGGAGCAACAGAGAGTCTTCATACGCTCCAAAAYACGTCTGAGTTCCAGATTTTAGATTTATTCTGTTCAAAAAGCAGAAACTTCAGAATAAAAGCTCAGAGTAAACTGACCCGGTCAGCATGGTGTAGAGCAGGACCCCCAGACTCCAGATGTCACAGGCTGCATCGTAGCCCTGCTTCTTCAACACCTGCAGACAAAACAAACATTTACCTCCTGTTCAAACAGCAGGAACAAGCAGAGAAATAAATCAGCCGAAGCTCTTCAAACTAGCTGAAGAAACTCAGTTATTCAACTTAAAAGAAGCAAAACTTCAGGTTTAAATAAAATAATTAACAAAAGAAATTGCTTAAAAGAAAGAAAATGTAAGCCTCAAGTTAAAAATGTTATTTTAAGTAACTTAAAAAAATGTAATCATTTATTAAACAACCAACAAAGCTACCTAAAAGAAAAAGCTACAAGCTAAAGCAGCAAAACAATCGAATAAAAAGGTAAATAAAGCAAAACTCAGATAAACAGCATAACTAGCAAAATGCTACCTGAAAAATATCAAAAGCTTGTCTAAAATGCTAGCTAAAAGCTAACAGTATTAAAACACTTTAAACTGAAAAAAGTAGCAAATGCTAACTATAATAGGCAAAATGCTAACCAGTATAATACCTAAAGAACTAAAAGTGGCTAAATGCTAGCTTAAAACTAGGAAAGCCCTGCCTAAAACTAAAAGAAACCAAATGTTAACTAAAAGCTAAATGTAGCAACACAATAGTTTCAAAATAAAAGCCCTACCTAAAACTAAAAGAAGCTAAATGCTAGCTAAAAGCTAAATGTAGCAACACAATAGTTTCAAAATAAAAGTACTAAACACTAAAAAACAAACCTGACAGTAGCAGCATGAGAAGTTTGTATAAAAGTGTTGTGTGTCAGTAAAAGTAGTGAGTAAAGGTGAAACACGAGGACTCCTGCAGGTGTTTCAGACGCACCTCTGGAGCTACGAAGTTAGCGGTGTAGCACGGCGTCATCAGCAGGCCGTTCTCCGCTCGCAGCTGTTTGGCGAAGCCGAAGTCGCAGATGCGGATGGACTCTGCGTTCCCGCTCTCGTCCACGTACAGGATGTTACTGGGCTTCAGGTCTCGGTGGACCACCTGCAGGAGAGGCGGGGCTTTAGTTTAAACCACCCGGCTGCGCTGACGGTCACCTGAGCCGGAGGAGGGACGGACCCCGTTGATGTGCAGGTACTCCACGGTCTTGGTGATGGTGTGGAGGACGGCGCTGGCCTCTCGCTCCGAGAAGAACTTCTGTCTGAGGATCTTATCCAGCAGCTCGCCGCCCTTCATCAGCTCCGTCACCAGGTACACGGAGCGGCCGTCGTCAAACACCTGCAACAACAACAGGTTAGACCCAACAGAACCAGAACCATGAAGGCCTGGGCCTCCGCTCATCAGCGCTAAGTCACAGGACAACCAGAGCGTTTAAATCAGCCGAAGAAATAAATTCAGCTGATAATCACTGAGCAGAGCCACTCAGAGTCAGCCTGGATAAAATTATCACCGTTTATAAAAAAACAAAATAAATTCAGCTTCAGGCAGATTCATGGTTTGATAAAATAAGTTTTATGATTCAGAAAAACCTCTGATTGTGTAAAAAATATGATTTATTCAGAAAAATATTCAAAACTAGAACATCTGACTAATTTTCTTCTATAAAGAGCAGACAGAGCCAGACTCTTATTTTGAAAAGTATTTATGAGCTTTGTTTTGAAACACAGAGCTCTTTATATTTTAATTATTTYATCTACTGAGCAAGAAAAATAATGTATATACAGTATATAACCAATAGTGCGTCAGAATCTGCTGAGTMACTGGTTGCCTCGGTGATTCCCTGTTTTTGAGGGGGCGGGGCCAGCGGACATTGTGTAGAAACTAAGTGAAAATTAAGCATCAAACGGTCGCTGTGTAAAAACGATAAGTCGTATCAAAATAATTCTTGAAGCGTGAGCAGCAGAAGACTCTGACGAATCCTTGTAGTGAATTTTGTTTTTACAAGATTTTATATAAAAGATACAAGTCAAATAAAGTCTTTACTTCCAGTTGTGAGTGCAGAAACCATGTGTTAGCAGTAGCTGTGTTTCCATTGCAAATGTGCACAAAACTTTGTTGATATTCTATTAATGTTGAAAAAACACAGTTTCACGACTGCAGTTTCCATTAAGCAAGAAATGTTATTAAAGTCACGTGAATACGTTTGTTCTCATGATAAGTCATTACAAACATGGCAGCGATGGATGTAAACACATAGCATGTTGCTACCACGACACTAGCGCTCATCATCAGAGGAGACGTCGGCGTCTTTTATCGAGGCTTTCCAGAGACAAGTCCCTACTTGGGAGCGGCTACGTATGCTGTGATTTTGGGAAATTGTAGTCGGTGAGTTTACTATTTTATACTACTTCTGTGATATTACTACTACTTCTACTTCCTGTTATCTTCTTCTTCGTCTTTTTCACCAGTAGAAACAGCCGGTTGTTGATCACGTGACTCCTGTGATGTGAAAAAAGTGTTTCCATTGCAGTTTTGTGAAAAACACCAATTTCGATACGGCCAAAAAACCACCTCATCCTAGCGCAAAAACATTTTGTCGAAAAACGTAATTTTTTTCGAAATTGACATGTTTCAAACGTAAAAAAGTGTAAAGTTTACGCAGTAAGAAGAGCTGGTTTACAAAAACTTTGGAAAGTTTCGTCCGCTCAGACGTTAGTGACACGACTCCATGACGCTCTGTGGTCACCATCCAGTGCAGTGAAAGAGAAAATAATAAAAATAATAAAAAACTAAGAGAAATCCCGTCGGACCTGCCAGTCCTGCAGCGAGGAGAGATTTCTGATTGTCAGGTTGACTCACGTCTTTCAGGGTGATGATGTTGGGATGCTGCCCGTATCTCAGCAGGATCTCCACCTCCTCTGTGGGGTCTCGCTTAGCTTTGTTAATGATCTGAAACAGAAACGTTCTYAGTACAATAAAAACTGTTTCTGGAAGGACAAAAAGCAGATCTGCTGACTGCAGGCTTGTTGTTGTTGTTGTTGTTTACCTTGACTGCGTACTCCATGCCCGTCCCTTTGTGCACGCAGCGTTTGCAGATGGAGTACGAGCCCACGCCGATGTCCTCTTTGATCTCATACGTGTCTGAAAACTGAGACGTGCTTCTGTGAAGCTGCTGCAGGAGAACAAACATAAAATAATAAAGTTTYATTAAACTTATCGACTGGTTCACGTGATATTTTACTAACAGAATGACATGTGAACACTCAGGAATGCTGGTGGATCAGTTTGTAATGTGGCTTAAGGACCAAAAACAAACTTTTCTCCAGCTAGCCACACGCTAGTTAGCCACATGCTAGTTAGCCACTTGCTAGCTTGTAAGGCTACTTTRATTCATGCGATGTTTGGTTCTAAACAGGGTAAAGTTGAGACCAGACTGGGACCACGTCTTTAGTCTTTAAATCAGAACGGTTAAGGACCAAAAACAAAATTTTCCCTAGCTAGCCACACGCTAGCTAGCCACACGCTAGCTAGCCACACGCTAGCTTGTAAGGCTACTTTAGTTTTTGAGATGTTTGATTCTAAATATTAAAAATAATCATAACTTTGTATAAAACAGGTTAAGCTGAGACCAGACTGGGTCCACGTCGTCAGTCTTTGAACCAGAACAAATAAAACTCAGCTCGGAGCTTGCAGCCCTGCAGGATGAAGGTGGTCTTGGGGGTACGTGCTCACCTGTACTATAGTATTTGGTACCGGCTGAGTTTCYTCCTCTGTTATGGCCACGAAGCTGAAGCCTCTGAAGAGCTGATGAGCGTTGGCGCTGGGCGGGACCCCCGGTGAGTCTGACACACACAGGAGAACAGCTGTTAGCTAACCGCTCGCTGATAGCTACAGAARAGTAGCTCAGCTCTCAGCAGACCAGCAGAAACCTGCACCTCTGGGGGTTTTAGCCGTGAACTCTGAATCGAAATAGAACGTGTCGTCGGGTCGTCCTGCAGCCGGTTTGAAAGGAGGACGGATCTCTCTGCGGAAGAGTTTCTGCAGGAGGAAAATAAAAAAATWAAAGCGTTATAACGACATCAATGTTAGGGTTGATTCTGTCCTGTCAGATTAAATAAAGGAGAAACTGACGTTCCAGTCGATGGTGCTGAAGAACTGATGCCGTTTGATCCCCTCCACTCCGTCTGCTCCGGCTCCTGCAAACAAACATTTCATCTGAGTCCAACTGAAGGAAACTTTTACAACATATCTGCTATAAGAACAGGAAAAACTGTGATTAAACTTAACAGTTTCTATTTTAAATAAATAAAATTAAGTAGAACCACTCTGTGACCTGCTTCGACCCAGCTCTAGTCTGTTGGTATTTTCCTGTTTGCCAGCAGGGGGCAGTAACTGCCGCAGCATGTTTAAAACACTTTTCCCTCCAAAACAATCAATACAGAAAGTGCTGCGTAATGGGGGAGCCTTTCAAAATAAAAGTGGTAATTTTTACGAAGTGAAAAATAATTAAATAAATTTTTAATTCTGCTCTAGAAGAAATGTTTCCAGAGTTATTATGTTCAGAACAGTTTTAGAGAAACATTTTCAAAATATAATGCGGATAAATTGAGACAATAAAATCTGTGTGGTATGTAAAACCTTCCTTTGTGCTTTTGAATAAACTTTTATTAGTTTGTTGTGTTGTCTGCAGCTCATTTCACTCCCCCTTGTTTCATATAAGACTTGTTTTTTTTTTTTTTTTACCTAATCTGTTGGCAGGGTTGCGTTTGAAAAGGCTCCTGAGGAGACTTTGAGCTTCAGAGCTGAGAAACTGTGGCATTCCCAGCTTAGCTCTGCAGGGAGAGAGAAAGAATAAAACGTCAGAAATGAGAGGAGAATCAGAGAGAAACAACACGCTGAACGTCTGTATTGTATATCCAGACTGAAGYGTCTGAAAGCTAAGACAATCAAGGAGCTCGGTGGAACAGGAAGCGGCGTCAGCACTCTGCAGAGTGCACTCAGCGTTTCCTGCAGACGAGCAGCCGGCCTGAAGCAGAGGCAGAGGAAGCAGGAGGAGTTAATATTTCCTCTGAGGTGTGTTTTGAATTTTTATCACTCCAACACCATCTCAGGCTCTGCTTCATGTCCTCTGGTTCATGTCTCTTATCTGTCCTCTGCTGRGTCCCACCCAGTCCTGGTCTTAAATGTCTGCAGGAACATAAGTCCTCCTGGCTGACTCAGTCTCTCGTACTTTCTCCTCTCTGTACTTTGAGCTGTAATAAAAGCTGCACGCCGCAGATCGAACAGGACGGCACAGACGGGATAAAGTGTCTTACTTCAGGATCATTGTCATCGTCTCCTTCCTGTCTTTGCCTTGAAAAGGCAGCGTTCCCGTCAGCATCTCAAACTGAGGACARACAGAAGAAACTCCACGTCAGAGGTGCAGACAGAAAAAATAAACATTTTCTCTGTAGTTTCTTTAAAGTCGTCTCAGTCAATAGATCTTTAAAGCTTTTTGAGTCGAGTTCAAAGAACGGACAGAAAATCTAACCTGGAGTACAGAAACAAACAGATTCCATCAGGTCTTTACTTATTAATGAGCTGTCAGAGAGCTGYAGGTCCAAATGGATCCGGTTCTGAAGAACTCATCAAACTGTGTCAACATCTGACTGAATCTGAGAGCAATATTTTGATTTATAACATAATTATCTTATTTATAATAACTCAGGTTCTGTGTGTTACCCTCTGGAAAAGAAGCTCTCTGTGTTGAAATGTTTTATAATCAGCAGGTTTTGGATTTTTATGTAAAACWGATTATATTTTTCCCTTTGTTTACATAAATAACACCTGCTCCTGGGAGAGAGATCAAATATAATCCATTCAACAGAACATTAGGCCTGAACCTTTGAGACTGTAGCCTCGAGAGGAGAGGTCCTGTGAAGGAGTCAAATACGTCTGTGGTTCTCTTAAAATGAGTCAGAGACACAAAACTGGTAAAAATTAAAGACAACTTTAAAACACCTGCAACACAACTGAGAAGAGTTTGAAACTGTTTTGAGACACCTGCAACATAACTGAGAAGGATTTGAGACAGTTTTGAGACACTTGCAACAAAACTACGAAGACTTTGATACAGTTTTGAGACACCTGCAACAGAACTAAGAAGAGTTGAGACAGTTTTGAGACACCTGCAACAGAACTAAGAAGAGTTGAGACAGTTTTGAGACACCTGCAACAGAACTACGAAGAGTTGAGACAGTTTTGAGACACCTGCAACAGAACTACGAAGAGTTGAGACAGTTTT